TTTTTTTTTCATTGCGGATTAAATATTTTCTTAATTTGATAAATTCATATATATTTTTTTTCAAACTCAAAATTCTGATATAATAATACTCTGGAGATCTAAAATATGACTTGGTTGACATATTGCATAATGTGATTATCATTATTTTCAAGGGATTAACGTTCTTCTTTTCTGATATCTAAAATTTATGTCATATATTCCATATAGTATTTCAAAAAATCTAGATTATAATGAGAATTATTATTTCCTGAATTCTGCACAATTATATTTGCACCAATATGTTTCATTGTGCAAACCCACCATGCCCCTCTCTACAACCATTCTTTCAAAATAGCAATTTTATACAACTAGTTTATAAATTAATAATCTGTGCAATGCCCAGGCACACACACTAGAAGATTTTTGAAAGTCTGGTTATTACTTCTGACAACAAAAATAATCCCATGCAGAAATATACCATAAACCACACTCAAGGAAGTTTTCTAGAAAAAGGGAAATACTTACTGTTTCCAGCTATTTTCAAGTTTCAAGTGAGCAAAACATATATTAATAGAAAGGGCACGGCTGAAAGGAGCAGATTAGAATAAGCGAAAAGGATCAAATTACCCTTGAAGTTGGCTGGATTCGACGATTTGATCGGCGGGGTTCAGAAACTTCAGGGATTGAATTTACGTTTTCGCTGTTATCTGATCTCCCGCTAACAGCTGCAGGCCTCCTTTGGTTGAGCCGCTCAGATATAGGATTCCTTCTTGCTGTTTTCTTACGATTATCTTGTGTACGAGCTTTAGAAGAAAACACCATAGAGCTTCCAGATGTCCCTCCATCTTTAGAGGACGATCCATGTTCACCCGTGTTCTGCTCCACCGATTCATTATCATTACTGCTGAGGGAATCCTTTCCATTATCCGATCTACCAGCATTTCGGACATTAGGTCGTGAAGAAGTTGAGTCATCTTTCCGCATGAAAGTTCTACTAGGGACACTTGGCGGCTTCCCAGACCTGATAGATCTCGGTCTAGACTCAGCAGCAATTTTGTCCTTAAAATCATGCTTCGAATTATGCTTGTGGCCCCTAGACCCAGAACCCAGAGGTCCCAAATATTGGGATAATTTCACTGAGTCTTCAGGTACAGTAGTTTTGGTGACTCTGTCAGAAGTGTTGTAGTGCTTGCTTACTTCCATGAACTTTCTTTTCTTGCCAGGTTTAGGGACACCAAATACAACCCTTGATCCTTGTTGCTTTTCTACGCCGGGTCTCTTAGTCCTGACCATGTTGGGCTTATTTTCCTCTGATTTCGTACTGCCGATACTAAAAAATTTCTCATTTGCAGACAAAGGGAGTTTTGGTACTTCGTTTCTCTGGACTTCTGCAAAACCAATGCTTTCAGACACTTTGGTCTTTCCTTTTGCCTCAATACTGCTGCTGCCTACCAGCTTTGGTCGCTTTTCTGCCGGTGAATCTCTCTATAAAATGAGAAGTATGACTCAGAATGAGGTTAAAACAAATAAATTACTACACTAAATAAAGAAGTATCGGCGAAAGATGTAACCTGGGAAGCAGGATCCTGCCCAGGTCTTTGCCATTCGAGCCACTGGCCATCACTCCAAATTAATGTTGGCCGAAGATGCCAAACCTTGACCCGCAACAACTCCCCTTGATCTGCCAAACACACCATAAAGACACTTAAAATCAAAATTACACATGAAAACAGAACTGAATACAAACAATTTGTCACATCTTTAACAGGAAGTACCGGGAAAATGTACAGTCACCACAGTTGCTTCTTTTGTGCTCCTTTCAGCAATAACTCCTTCACGCCAGCTGCAGCAAGATGGAGACGGGAGAAGAAAAAATAAAACACCAAATACGAGGAACAAGGTATGAGATAAAAGGCCACATAGAGTCAATCACTATTTTCTATGCATAATCACTCAATTTACGTCATTTTCCATTTAACTCTTCAACAAAACCAAACGTTTATCATAATCATTCTTGTAATACTTGCATAGTTCAAAAGTTTTGGCTTCCTCATGGGATGCTTATTATATCGATATTCAGTCAGGAAACCTCGCCTACACTTGTTCAAATAATGAAGCTGACATTCTGCTCCCATCCACTTGGGCACTCCACAATCAGTTTAAAAGATCTAAATGCTATTAAGCCTCCAACCCCTCCCCTCAAAGAACAAATATTGATACGTTCGGGCTAATATGGAATCCCCATCACTACTAACCATGTAATGCACCCAAATTCCTGCTAATAGAGAGCACATTGAATGCAACATGAAAATAAACGAAACTAGACTTCTATGCAGAATTTGCCAGTATGTAGGGAATAAATGCCCAATCGTAACCACCAAACTTAGCTGTCAAGTATCAGCTAGAAAATGCTATCATATCTTAACCCGGTCATCATATAAACAATCTGCTTACCCATTGTGAACCAATGCATCAACTTTGTCTCCAACAGACCAACTGTAATCCTTGGCAGCAGCTCGACGTCTCTTCCTTGTTCCTTCAACCTGTAATGCAGTCATATCATGGGGTATACGTACTTTTGGAACCTGGTCGTCTGTGGCTTCTATTGATACCCACTCCTGCAGCTGCTCAGACCCTAAAAACACAAGCAATTGTGATGTGAAGTTGAAGGAACACACACACAAGATAAAAGGTGTTCTATCTGCAAACTTTCTTTCTATCAGAGGTCCAAAAGTAATTTATTTCCTCTCTACAGTTGTTACTGGCACAACAACAAAAAAACCATTACGGCCATAATCGTGTGATATGATCACAGGATTATCATGATTAGAGACTAATCCCCAGTCTTGTTTCTTTTTTGTTTTCCATCCAACGGAGTCTTCCATCAATTCTTACATGGAAACCAATTCTCAATCTAAAAAAGAAAAAAGCAAATACGCCAATCAAAGTATCTTAAAGGCATTTGCAAACAATAACACAACCTTGTTAACTTGTACCACATAATCAATGAATGATTAAGCAGCCTATAAACAAGAAACTGCATTCCTTATATTAGCTGGTGAACGGAGTTACTAAAAGCCCTACTAAACATACTCATAAACTGACCTTCCGTCGATTGAAGTTTGGTGTACAAAACACGGGCTTCACGGTCCTTCAGACTAAGTACACGTGCTGAGAACCAGGCCGCCTTAGAATCACCACAATCTTTTAGAACCTGCAATGTCAAGTACTAGAAATTTCTTCAGAATGAAATGAAAAAAATTAAACATAACAATTAAATTTATGGGTTTGACCCAGGAGACAGAGTACATGAAAATGTTAAATAAGACCCAACAACAAAACTCGCAAACCTCAACATAGGAACCCTCTTTAATGCTTGATAAGGCATGTGTCGTTGATCTTGATTCAATATCGGAGATAGAAATACCAACAGTATTAGCCGAGTTGGATACTTTTTTATCCTTTTGAGGTTTAAAGCTCTCCCCATGTTTTCCAGAGACCATAATATTCTCTTCTACAAAGACATGATCATCTACCTCATTTCCAGATAACTCCTGAATGGGTTGCTCAACATCACTCGCGGCATACATATCCTTATCAGGTTCCTTAGGTCGGTTTATATAATCTTCAGGCTCCTCTCCAGCATTGCTAGAGGTAGATTTACCTTTCTTCTTGTCATTAGACTTCAAACCAGGCACAGCACCCTCCTGAGATACCTTCCAATAGTTATTCGGCCCGGCTTCTGCTAGCTCGCTCAGGGAGAATGGTTCACCCAGGGAGACAATCTTCCCTGCGTGTGAAACTGCTTCTGCAGCCAATTCTGATGCTTTGACAATGGCATCAAGATTTTCTGCATACCTTGTGGCAGCAGAAGCAGCCTCAATCCTTTTCTTGGCAGCCTCTCTTGCAGTGGATATCACTAAGCCGGGATCATTATTCCGATCACCGACCCTCAAAATGGACTTGGGAGACGCATTCACCAAATTAATGGAATTGGAAACTAACTTTGCATCATGCCCAGTAGAATTCAGAGATCCAGACTTGATCACTGCTTCTTCGGCCATTTGTTTTGCTTGGAATGCAGCAGTTGATGCAATCTTAGCAGCCGCAGCTGCTGCCTTAGCAACAGAAGCAGCAGCTGCTATAGCAACAGCAGCAGAGGCTAATTTACACTGAGCATCTGATGTCAAACCACCTTGTTTTTGCTCGTCCAACTGCTTCCATACGCCTTCACATTGGCTAATTGCAGCAGCAGCTTGGTTTGCAGCCTCCTCCGCTTGTAACATTGCCTCCTCAACTTTGCTGAAATCCTCGATATTCTGTGCCCTCTTATCTATACTCAGATCACCTCCCTTGGATTGATCACTAGTAACTGATGGTGCCACGACAGGGAAAAACTGGTTGGGAGAGCCTTTTTGCACAAAGTTAGAAGGGGTTGCCACAGCAACTGATGTAGAATAATGACTACTGATAACAGGTGTACGAATCTGGTCTCCCTGATTTCGTGCAGTGGAAGGGAACGGACTAAGAGCCTCAATTGCAGGGTCATTGTTCGACAACTGACTAGCTACCAAAGGAGCAGAGACGGTGTCTATCCGAGAAGCGGTCATGGATTTCCGTAAAACATCCTCAGCACCTGAAGACTTTTTCCTCTTACTAGTCTTTGTACCAGCAGCTTGTCCAGTTGATGAATTCAAGATTTTCAAGTCAACCAAAGAATCCTCAGCGTAAGTAGCAGAGACAACGGCATTACTTGTAGGACTTGCAGAGGTATTATTTGAAATAGCAGCAACAACTGGGATTGATTCTTTCTTTTGAGTTGACTTTACAGGTTCTGTCACGCCTGGAAATGCAGGAGAAGTAGTACTGACATCATAAGGAGTGGTTTGAGAAGGGGCAAGCCAGGGTACTGGGAAAGGAGCCGGCGATAACCGAGTAGTATGTGACACATAGTTCCGTACAGGTGGAGTTTGATAAGGGCTCAAGGGAGCAACAGTCTGATAATCAATAACAACACTTCTGGTGGTGCTGCCTGGTACCAAAGCTTCTGCAGATGGAGTAGATATATTCCACAAGGGCGTCGAGAGAGAGACCATCTGGTTAACAACAGGAGAAAGAATAGGCCTTTTACTTGCTCGACCAGATATTGGGGTAAAAGCTTCAAGTTGAAGAAAACATTGCCTGTTAGTTTGATCTTGAGCTTTTACACCTGCATCTTCCAATGGCAATCCATCATTAGTAACTTGAATATTAAATCCTAAAGACAAATCCTTAAAAGCATGTTAGGCACCTGATTGTATTGATACTGGTGTTTCAGTATTTTTTACATTGGATTTCAGACCGTGAACCCTTTCCACACAAGCACGCCAAGAAGGCTCCCAACCGCTCCTGCCTCCATCTTATTTTAACGAATGAAAGTGGAAAACAAAGAGAGAGAGAGAGAGGAATAAATTTTGAGTTCGGCAGCAACATATACACAGAAATATGTATATATACAACACTCAGAGGAACATAATCTTATGTGTTGGTGCTTGCCTTATTCACAGGTAAAATAGCATGTAGCTTTTTTCACATTGTATCTTATTTTAGTTCTCGAGCTTTCTCTCCCACTATTCATCCACGTTCTTTTAACTGCTATAACATGGCATTTACTGTGTACGGAAGTATCACAGGAAGGTTGGATGTGTGGAGAAAACTCAGAAGTACAAGTACGAATAGGATATGGTATAACATTCTACACAATTTTGTGTTTATGTAAGAACTGATATGTCATGTGGATGGAATTTATTTAGGTCTTTCAGTGGCTTAAGAAAAGCTGAGTTCATCTTAGATTCACAAAAATTTACTCGTCAATACGTATTTCCGGTTTACGTATCTTCTGTAATTAAGGAAAAAAGAAAATTTCTCGATTGCTAGTAAAATCCAGTTTTGGCCACCAATCCCTTAAAAAATATAGGGCCTTTAAGGAATCAAAACCAGAACACAATTGAAATATGAAAAGAGGGGAACCTTAAGAAAAGAGTGTTTGACCTTTAGGTACAATGATGAAGCTTAAAGTATAGAACATGCCGTACTTGACAATTAAGAACAATGGGAGTGTTGAGACTGCTCTAATTTTACTACCATAAAAAATGTTTGAGTCGGAGAATGATCCTTTTTCCAATTACAACAAAGCAGACAAAAAAATAACTGAATGTGACATTACACAAGGAAAGAAACTGATGGATAATATTGTGTTTCTAATTTGAACTACACTGTAAATTAAATAATGTTTTATGTTTCAAGTTCCTGTGTAACATACGGATATTAGATATGCGTGTGTGACAAACAAGGAGAACAATTGGGAAATGTAATAGAACATGCAGGGGAACACAGAGACTGAAACATACCAAAGGCCGACACCATACAAGCCTCATCAGGTGCAGCTTCTTGTCTGTAACAAGAAAATATAATTCAAGATTAAAACAGATGATAACTGATACATAATAACATTGCAAGAGAACTTTCAAAAGTTTTCATAAGAAACTTATTTACTTATAGACAAATCAACCACTAGTTAATGTATCTTGCAATGTGCTACAGTAGAAGAGAAAGATCAAACTCACATAAGAGATCCATAAACAAAGATTTGTGCTCGCAGTTGCACTTGTTGTAAATCTGTGAAAGGCTGCTGAAAGAATGCAGACGATGCAGCAGAAGTATTAAGATCAGGCAAGCTGGATGTAGGAATAGGAACAAGTCCCCTTGGCTTGACAACGCTTTCAAAGGACAACGATTGACTGGCAACTAATGGACTCAAAAAAAGGGATGATTTCTCCAACTTCTCGGGCTGCCTCAAAGAAGTCGTTTCTTTCACCTGATTTCCCTTATTTGCACTTGCCTTCCGAGGTTTACTACTAGCACGTCTAGTTTTACGCCCAGAGGGACCTCTGAGAGGTTCAGATGGAGGTGTTAAAGAACTAACATGAGAAACTTCCTTCACAGCAACTGGATCTGCAAGGTTGCTACCAGATGTTGAGGGTGATACTCCAGCAGTCTTCAGTGGAAATATATAGCAAGTTTAAACTTAGTCAAAACAAACGCCACAATACAAAGTAGAAAATAATTAATTAGAACATGGCTGGGAGTAAGGAGTACCAGAGACAGTTTACAAGCTTCAATTTTGGGAAATGATTGGGAACCATTGCAAGAACCTCCAGACGACTGATCCCCCAACGGCCTTACGTCAAAAGTAAAGGTTCCTTCTTCTTCAGACGGAACATTTACTACAGAGTTCTCTGCTTTCGTTACAACTTTGCAAATATTTTCAACATCATCTCTTTTAAGAGATGACTGATTGTTTATCACGCTTTCTGGAAGATCATTACATATAACGTCAGATGGAGCAACCTGGTCGGACTTATCCATTTCCATAGTACAGCTGGTACCGGCAACCACGTCAACTGCAGAGCTTAAGTTGTTAGGACTAATTGAGAAATAAAGCAAATTAAAACGAGCTTGCAAATGAAAACCATTGAAGCTGCAGAAGAAAAGTTGCTTCTTGAAGAATATCACAGATCAATTTAGGCATCAAGATGTAATGCAGGCAATATGGGGTTATGAGGAAAGACAGAACTTAATTTCAGATCCAACATATTAACTCGGTCCAAATTATTATGCCACAGGATAATTGTGACCTCTTATATAGGCCTTAATCCTTTAATATCTATGTCAAAAGGCACCAGTATAATGCAACTCTGATTAAGTCCCTCCCTCATCTCATCGGATTAAAATAACGTCCATATGATCTCATCAGATTTAAATAATGTTCACTTTTTAGAGGTTTACAACTGAAAGAAAGTGACCAATAAAATCTAAGGAGAATGGAGGTATAACTAACCCTCAGTGTATCTGCAGATGAGCAAAGTAGGAAATTGTAGACATGCTTTACGAGTAACTGGCTTGGAAATGTCCACTTGAAGTTACATACTATTAGATCAGGTTGGATTGGAGTAGCTTAAGTTTGTACACTGAAAGTGCACGTTTAATTTTGTATTATTATGAACTTCAGTCAGCTTTGGCATAAAGTCAAAACTGCAATTTTGCATGTACTTTAATCTAATATTTCAAGTTGTTATTTATTCCCCTTTCAGCAGCATCACGGCACTGTACATGATAACAAATTCCAATGCAAACTACACCTTAATCAAGCTTGCCCAATAGTTGGGTCTTAACTGAGCAGTCTG